GCCATCCCCAACATCAATGCTTGCATCCGATGAATTGGAGGATGTGCCGGTGCAGCTATCGACTGGAGTGTAGCATGTTTTGCCTTGACCGCTGAGCCGCGCCGAGGTTGTTTCCTCAGGCTTTGAGAACAGATTATAGTCGCACATTTCCGCAGTGCAAAAGTAGCAACCTTCATCCCAGCTCACGCCTTGTACGACGCCCTTTTTCACTGAAATGATAGCGGTCATGTACGGAGAGATGCGGCCAGTCGCGGCTGATGAGTAGAGCTTGTAGTTTGTGCGGTATTTGAGACTCGACACGGTGAGGAATGCACTCGAGGGGTTGGCACCTATACGAGTATCATTCCAGGCTGCAACAAAATGTAAATCGATACCAGCGCAGTTAGAGAATCAACTTTGCCGTACAGATCAAAATGCTAGTTACTCACAGTCGCTGATGCGCAGTACGGTGAACTTGTCGGCGACGGGAGTGAAGAGCGTACGGTATTTATTGTTCACATTGACGCAGATATACGTGATAGCCCCTTTCACGACGAGCGGCACCGGGTCGGACGGCGAACAAATGCTCGACACGTTGGTCTGCGCGGCTTGCACACTCGTCGAGGAGATCACCATTGCCCAAGCAAACAGTAGCCACATTCGCTGAACTCCGACGCATTTCTGCTGCGTGAGGGACATGTTGATCGACAACAGCTAGTATTCCTCACCAACAGAAGCGCACCACTACCAGCGTAGGGAAGTTTTTGCCTTGGCAGACCTTTCTCACACAGTTCTCCAAATAGCATCGGCATGAAACCACAGTAGGGTGACTCCAAATTCGATTGACACTCCACAGCATCAAGGTGACCGACCTATTAGAAGAAGGCAAATACTAGGCCGACCCCCCTCCCCCCCCATCGCCATTTGTGCTATCACCAGTAGCAGTAAATGTATCAAGTAACTTACTGGTAGCTGCAATGGCAGTCTTACCGATCAGCGTACCCCCCCTTAGCATTACCCATCATTCCATTCACGTCAACACGACTCGCGGCGATGATTAGAGCTCTTGATTCAGAAGAATGCTTGATACCCTCCAAGCAAAACTTGGCTGAGTTGCTCAGCCTTACCATGAGGTTTTCAAGCTGCGCATCCCCACGCCTATTTAGAGAAATCTTCATTGTAGACATACAGAGATTATACAGCAGTGCGAGGTCAAGAACTGAAACTATAAAAAAACCTGTTTTAAACACAAAAGTAACAATAAAAAGTAGCACATCTGAAACGGCCAAATTCTGTGTCCCCAGAATTTACACTTATTGCCGTTGGATGCTATTCAGCCCAAAAAAACCCCATTGTCTTTTTTGTTGTGTTTTTGGGCTGAATGCCATCCTACCGGTATCTCAACCGAAGTAGCCGATATCGGAAGGTATGCATTTCGCGACTGATATAAAAGCATGCCATTCGGGTTGCCGCATAACCAAGCAAACTGAATTCTACCAATGTATCAAACATTTTTCTCAGCGGGCGTACTGCGAAGCATCCGTTCGTGAGCATCAACCGGCTTGACTGCATTATCAGAGCTTCTCACAATTCATGTAGCACGCGGTTCACCGATGCGATCGATCAGCTTAATAGTCGTGTATCAGCTAAAGCAGCATTCTTATTCACGTACACTGGGGCGTTGAAGGCGCCTGACTCCAATGACTCCAACACTTGACACGAATTTGGTGTTTGGTGCTTGGAATCGTGGAGATCAGGGTACACCTCAAGGTGGCGCGCAATCTTTGGGTGATGTTGCCGTCTGTGACGTGTGACGAACATTTTTGTTGGATAAAGCTAGAGAAGTCCCTGATGCCGTCATGTCTGCCGCTGGATCGGACTGACATTTCAGCGAGCTGCTCACGTTTCCAGGTCATTTGCTTTTTGCCCGTGGACGCCGCACTCAGGACCTCCAGTTATCCGCTACGGCTTTTGCAATGAGCACCTTCTTTCCTGTGGTCTCAACTTTGGGCCCGGTCACCATGCCAAAGCAGGCGCCTGCCGTTCCAGTAGCGCCTGCCGTCCTTGCCACCTCGGCCACCAAGTGGGATGCTCGTCTCTCACACAACCCCGTTCACGACAACGCTTTCTACGGCAAGTGCATGATCGGTGGCATCTTGTCGTGCGGCATCACGCACACAGGCATAACTCCGCTCGATGTAGTTAAGTGCAATATGCAAGTGAACCCGACCAAGTACAAGAGTTTGCTGTCGGGTATGAAAACAATCGCTTCAGAGGAGGGTATCGGCGCTCTGTACAAGGGCTGGGCTCCGACCGCCTTCGGTTACTCAATGCAGGGTATGTGCAAGTTCGGCTTCTACGATGTATTCAAGGACATGTACTCGACGATGGCCGGTGAGGAGAATGCCTACAAGTACCGTGGTGCCATCTACCTGGCTGGCTCTGCGTCGGCCGAGTTTTTCGCCGATATTCTGCTGTGTCCCATGGAGATGATCAAGGTGAAGGTGCAGACATCGCCTGCTGGCACCTTCCCCGTGAAGCTGTCTCCGGCCATGGCTGCCATGAAGGCTAACCCGGAGACTCGTTTCCCATTCGGATCACTGGTACCCCTGTGGTCGCGTCAGATCCCGTACACGATGGCTAAGTTCTTCTTCTTCGAAAAGGTGGTGGAAGCTTTCTACACCTATGTGTTCACGGAGCCGAAGAGCTCGTACCCCAAGAGCACGCAGCTCGGCATCACCTTCGCCTCGGGTTACCTGGCTGGTATCATTTGCGCCATTGTTTCGCACCCGGCTGATTCCGTTGTTTCTCTCATGGGGAAGCCTACAAACAAGGGCAAGAGCTTCGGTCAGATTGTACGCGAGACTGGCATGGTCAACCTGGCCACCAAGGGTCTGGGTACACGTATCATCATGATCGGTACGCTGACGGGCGCTCAGTGGTGGATCTACGATACGTTCAAGACGGTCATGGGCATGGGCACGAGCGGTGGCGCTGCCCCTAAAAAGCACTGATCAACAAATTGAAGAGCTTGTCCAGTCTAAAAATAGCTACTTCAGAATTTAGTTACCGTTACTTCAGTAGCCGTTTTAAATAAAGAGCTGTTTGAAACTGCTCGCTTCCTCAGCCTCAGATCTCGCCCTCGCCTCCCAAATTTGACGTCATTCGCCATCCACCCGTCGACCTCCCAGCAGCCTCCTCATCATGAGCGCTTTCTTCCCTGTCATCTCGTCGCTGAACCCGGCCGCGCCGTCTGTCGCCGCCCCCAAGGCCCGCCCGGCCTCGGTCCTCGCCACCTCGGCCGCCAAGTGGGACGCTCGCCTCTCGCACGACCCCATCCACGACAACGCCTACTACGGCAAGTGCATGATCGGAGGCATCCTCTCGTGCGGCCTCACGCACACGGGCATCACCCCGCTGGATGTAGTCAAGTGTAACATGCAGGTGAACCCGGCCAAGTACAACGGCCTGCTGCCTGGCCTCAAGACCATCGCTTCGGAGGAGGGTGCTGGCGCTTTGTTCAAGGGCTGGGCCCCCACGGCCATCGGCTACTCTGCCCAGGGCATGTGCAAGTTCGGCTTCTACGAGTTCTTCAAGGACTTCTACAGCTCCATGGCCGGAGAGGAGAATGCTTACAAGTACCGTGGCGCCATCTACCTGGCTGGCTCCGCATCGGCTGAGTTCTTCGCCGACATGGCCCTCTGCCCCATGGAGATGGTTAAGGTGAAGGTGCAGACCTCCCCCGCTGGCACGTTCCCCGTGGAGCTGGGCCCCGCTGTGGCTGCCATGAAGGCCAACTCGGCCGAGACTCGCTTCCCGTTCGGCTCGCTTGTCCCGCTGTGGTCGCGTCAGATCCCGTACACGATGGCCAAGTTCTTCTTCTTCGAGAAGGTTGTGGAGGCCTTCTACACGTACGTGTTCACGGAGCCGAAGAGCTCGTACCCCAAGAGCACGCAGCTCGGCATCACCTTCGCCTCGGGTTACCTGGCCGGTGTCATCTGTGCCATTGTTTCGCACCCGGCTGATTCCGTTGTGTCGCTCATGGGCAAGGCCGAGAACAAGGGCAAGGGCTTCGGCCAGATCGCCAGCGAGACCGGTCTGGTCAACCTGGCCACCAAGGGTCTGGGTACGCGTATCATTATGATCGGTACGCTGACGGGTGCTCAGTGGTGGATCTACGATACGTTCAAGACGGTCATGGGCATGGGCACGAGCGGTGGAGCTGCCCCCAAGAAGCACTAATTGCGCTTCTAGACGGCATAAAGGCCTCGGTGACGTGGTTGTCATTTCTATCGATACCTTTTTTCATGCTGAGCTAAATTCAGATGGACGATACGCGAGCCGGAAGGTGCCGAGAGAAGCCCGACGGTCGGAATGCAATCCTTCCTGTAGCGTCTTTAGAATACGGTCGCGTGAGGTGATGGTCTGGAGGCAAGTAGACTCAAATTATGCTATCTGCAATAAGAGAACCACCAATACCTTGCAACACTACTGTAGTCTTTACGCTTGCTTACTGTGCACATTGCAGATGAAGTTCTAAGTAGTAGAAACGAAAACGAGAATCGTATATTGAACGGAAATTTCTTTTCCTTCCGCCGGCGACGCGACAGAAGACCACGTCAGCAACAACGGGTTGCCTAGATGTATCGATAAACTTCGTCGACGTCAGGCTACGTAGCGCGGTGCATTAGACACCGTCAGGCGATATGCAATTCTTTCCTCCCTACGAGAAGAAGAGCGTATGCACAGCCATGACGACAAGAGCGCCAGCCACGTATTGACTCTTACGCTCTCCGATGCGAGAGGCCTTCCAGCACAGGCCGCCAAGACCCTCGTGTTTTCCAGGAAGTTGACCACGGTCGAAGAGTGTGGGGAACTTCATCTTGATGTAGGTGCAGGTACAGATGAAGAGCAAGATGACGGTGAGCAGCCCCTGGAGACTGAATAGCGCCGACTACAACACACAGCCAAGGCCGTCAGTCTTCTCTCATAAACAGCGCCGCATTGATCAACTTGATAGCCGCCGACTTACCATGTTCCCTCGTCTTTTGTAGATTTCGCAAGGTTATTAGAGCATCTAAGGAGCACAAGTCTATAGTACGAGTGACCATAGAAACCGCATGCAAGTACCGGAAGCTTTGGTTCCTTGTCCACGGACCACCAAAACGGTGTGGAACACACTGAAGGAATGACCTAGCTGCAAGTGCGACACTATATTTCAATTTGGGAGGGGCGACGTGCTTCGAACGAAATTGCCCGAGGTTTTTTGTACAAGGTTTTATTCGACGAGGCTTGGCCGCACGATGTACGGCTGAGACCGAGGGGGACTCGACTCGCCGCAGCCTCACACGCACACAGACACTAAAGCTCTCGAGCAACTTGAGAGCTAGCTGAGCACGATGATGAACCGAGCCAAGCTACTTCAACGCGCTGCCAAGGTTCGTAGCTGTACCTGCCGCTCGTAATTGTGTCCTTCTGCCGCAATGCGGCCGCACACAGCATGCTCTTCTGTGCTGGTTGAGTCCCTTGGGCTGGACCACCAAAATGATGGTCCAAATTCTGACGCGGACGCTTGTCATTATGATTTGTTTGCGCTGCTGCAGGTGGGTGCCGGCGCTCTGCTGGGCGGTTCGGTGCTGACGGGCGTCACAGCTTTTAGCAGTGACCAGATTGAAGCGCTGCACTACGGTTTTGACCACCAGGGTCCGCTGTCCTCGTTCGACTACGCCAGCGTGCGTCGTGGTTACCAGGTTTATCGCGAAGTGTGCGCGTCTTGCCACAGCTTGGACCGTATCTGCTTCCGCAACTTGGTGGGAGTGACCCACACGGAGGAGGAGCTTAAGGCCATTGCTGCCGACATTGATGTTGTCGATGGCCCCAACGACGAGGGTGAGATGTTTGAGCGTCCCGGTAAGCTGTCAGACCCGCTTCCCCGGCCGTACCCGAACGACGAGGCTGCCGCGGCTGCCAACAACGGTGCCATCCCACCTGATCTTTCGTTGATGGCTAAGGCTCGCCACGCTGGCGCCGACTACCTGTTCGCGCTGCTGACGGGATACGTGGACCCTCCTGAGGGCACGGAGCTGCTGCCTGGCCTGTACTACAACCCGTACTTTGGTGGCGGTGCTATTGCCATGGAACGTCAGCTGCAGGATGGCCAGATTGAGTACGAGGACGGCACCCCGTGCACGACCTCGCAAATGGCTAAGGACGTATCGGTCTTCCTTGCGTGGGCCGCTGAGCCGGAGCACGACGTGCGGAAGAAGCAGGGTATGCAGACAACCATTGCACTGCTGGCTCTGTGCGCACTTACGGGCTACTACAAGCGCCTGAAATGGGCGCCGCTCAAGACCCGTAAAATCACCTACACCAAGTAAGACGGGAGGTTGTGGCCGACGCATGGTGTGCGAGGAGGAGTTGACGCAAGGGAGTGGTAGAGCAGGCAGGCGTCAGGAGCTTTTTGCTTTGGTTCGTTAGTCGTTCCAGAAGAATGGAGCGTTGCTCTCATCCCTCGAGCGAACGAGTGAAAGAGGAAGGAGACAGACGCGCACACGATGCACGGAGAGACCGACCGTCGAGACAATAAATAAAGGAGGAGTGGCGTTTGGCATTCTGACAGGAGGAGGTGTGAGCAGGACTTGAAAACTTGAAAAAAAATACACAGACACGTAAAGAAAGCTGCTGAGTCTTGTCAAGGGAAGCAGCATGAACAGGTTAAGCTTTCGTTAGTAAGAGGCTCTCACTGAGAGCCTTGTGACAGCACCACCGGCACGAGCAATTGAATTGTCGATTAGGATCGTATGGATGCAGCGTAGTTTACGCGTTAAGTACGATTTGAATGGCTGGCCGTCGCTTCGGCTTTGTGTCTATTCATCGCGTCAATTTATCGCTAGATCATAGTTGTTGCCGGTGCAGTACTCACACAGCGAGACAGCCATGGCGAAGTCGTCCAAAGTCATCCGTGTCGGCCAAGACGCGCCACACCAGGTGAGCTATCGCTGCGTCATGTCGAATGTGTTTCGATTGGTTTTCATCGCATCTTAACATGGGAATTGCCTGTCGACAAATAGCCTGATGTGGAGAGCGAGAGCAGCTACAGCTTTGTGGAACAGTCCAAACGCCAGGTGAAGGTCAAAATCCAGAGCCTGACGGATGAAGAGATTGTGTTTGACCTCATTGGCGTGGACGCCGCCATCGCCAACGCGTTGCGCCGCATCCTGCTCGCCGAGGTTCCAACTATGGCGATCGAGCACGTATACATCTGGAACAACTCGTCTATTATTCAGGATGAAGTGCTGGCCCACAGATTGGGCCTTGTGCCACTCAACGTGGACCCGCGTGAGTTCCAGGCCTTTCCCGACAACGAGGAGGCAGAGGCCACTGACGAGAACACCATCGTCTTCAAGCTCGATGTCACGTGCAAGTTTGACCCTGAGCACCCGAAGGACCCGACCAAAGCGATTCATTCTTCTGGTACGATGATTCTGTTGTTTGAGCTCCAGGATTTTACAGGGCTGATAATTAATCTGTTCCACTATTCGTGTTTTGCAGTATACTCGCGCGACCTAGAGTGGGTGCCGCAGGGAAACCAGGAGGAGCGCTTTGGCTCTATTCGCCCCGTACACGAAGATATTTTGATCGCAAAATTGCGACCTGGTCAGAGCATTGCATTGGAGGCCCACTGCCGCAAGGGCGTGGGTAAGGATCACGCTAAGTTCTCTCCTGTGGCCACAGCGTCATACCGTTTGATGCCTAAGGTTGAACTCACGGAGAAGGTGGAAGGTGCCGAAGCGAAGCGCCTAGTGGAGGAGTGCCAGATTGGCTTGTTCGATATTGAAGACATTGGTGGCGTCCCTACTGCAGTGGTGAAGGATCAGCGCGCCTGCACCATGTGTCGGAACTGCATTCGTGAGCCTAGCTGGAACGAAAAGATCCGTCTCGGACGTCAGAGTGACCACTTCATCTTTAGCGTCGAGTCCGTGGGAATGATCAAACCCGAGGAACTGCTGCTGGAGGCTCTCAATGTGCTTGCCGAGAAGTGCAATATCGCATTAGAGTCGTTCACGCAGGTGGATGAGGACGAGGAAATGGGCGATGAAGAAGAAGAGGAGGAGGAGGATCAGGAAGAGTAGACCGACCATAGATTGCTTGGAGCTGACAGAATATATGCATACATACTAAAACATCTCATCTGCGTTGGGGTAATCTCTCGAGCCCGAAGCCTCTGTCTTATTGCAATATCGTATTGTCATATGCGTCTAAATAGCGTCATCGTCCACTTTGCAGCCGCATTTTGATTGAGGCCACACCACTCGGTCAGGGATCGACGAGGTATTCTGCTTGACGAACTCTTTGGTCTACCCTAGTTCTCCTGGTTGAGGAAAACCGATGCAGCGCGGATACCGACAAAGACGAGAGCGATCTTGGACAGGTCCCAGGCAACGGCCTTCATCTGTTTGGTGCTGTCCACCTGCGGCTTCTTCTTCTTGAGCATGAACATCTTGGCTGCGCTGGGAGTTGGAGAAGAAGGGTGTGTGGGTATCGACCGGTTTTTCGGGATGACAGGCAGCGCTTGCAATGAAGTGCCACACTAAATTTACACAAGAATGTAACAATCCCGCGGGTTGCAGGTGGGTCCAGTGGCTGGACTCCAGTCAAAACCTGTATTTACACCCCCGTGGCTAAGCTACCTTAACTTGTTGCACCTTGCACGGCAGGGAAGTAGCCTATGCTGACGATGACTATCGCACACTTTCCATGCACCAAAGCGTTTGGGTGTTGCGTGGGCACCATTTTTTCGACCCGATTCGTGACAAATTTCGTTACCAAACCTGAAATCTAAAGGGGTCAATGCCAACACAGGAACTATACGGCGATAAAAACTGATATGTATCGCTTGCCCACATTTTATTCTACGATGAAAGTGCTGCTGATTATATCGTCCTTCTATTGGTACTCACAGACATGCCCTCCACTTTGCCTTGCCAAACGAATGAAATCAATTCTAGCTCTGTGGGTGGCTCTATGTAAAATGTTTTTCGGCACGTAAAGCATCAATCTTACCAATAGGTAATCGTCACAAGCTCGAACACTAACCAATGGAAGTTTGGCTTGATTTGATATTGGTACTACTAAACACTAGGGTGCAACGTAGCGCGCCTCGGGTGTAGTCGCCATAACCGCAACAAATACAAATACTAAACACTCATTATTCCTTCAACTTTCTGAATAATCGCTGAACTAGGACAACCATTAGCGGATCTGAAAATTGCTGCCACTGCTTCCTTTGTAAGCTTAAAGGTTCGTTGACTAACGACGGAGTGATCGGGTACCGGGAGCAGCAACCCCAAACGCCCACTTACTTTTGAAGCCACCTGAATTTGAACGTGTAGTCCGTGCCTGATAAAGGGAATTATGAAGCAAGATTAGTACACTTTATCCTCTCAGTGTTTTTCGCTAACAAACTACGTACCAACGTGCTGTATTGATGATTGGAGCACGTAAATGATCCAAAGCACAAATTGGCTTTGCACGACTCTCCATTCTTTACCAAGAACGAAACGCAGAATTGTCCCTGGAGCAAGCTGAAAGCGTCGATTAAGCGCAACCAAGAGCAGAATAAAGGAAAGTAGTTGTAGTGTTCCATAAATTAGTACGCTGCAGATTGTGTTGATGAGATCAGCCTCGGACATTTCGTTCAGGTATGGGAAAAACTTGCGATTTGGGAGATGGTATACTGTGGCAATGTAAATAACTAGCAGCAAGTGTTAGCCAGAGCCAACCCAACAGATAAATTTCGTCTTACCATAGACAAGCGGAACCATCACTTCAGTGTATTCCACGAGCAGTAGAAATTCAACACGACGTAAGACACGGCAGGTTTCGTGGACGAATTGCTGTCGTTCTTCAGCAGTAAGCATCTCAACCATCTGAAACGAATTACTGGTGATTTCTTCGACACTAGGTCCACGATTAAATGGAGATGGAACACTGATCTCGGTGGGTATGATAGCGCTCTTCTTTGCCGACAACCTTTTCTTTCCCCAGGCATTCTTTGGCGGGAAATTGGGCTGATCAATCGCCGTTTTGCCGTCATTAACAACGCTTAGCTTATTGTTTCTGTTCTTCACCTTTTCAACCCAGCCAGGTTTATCCGCACTAGAAGCATCTCCGATTATCCACGGAGCGACGGCGGATGCATTTTTGCTGTAGGAGTGCTGAGATTCCACACTACCTCTCTGCGTGACGAGACGGTCAAGGTGGTGGTGCTTTGCAATAAACCCAGCAATTTCTAGCATTCGCGCACGGGTAGCATCAGGCCCCATCTTGACATTCAGCTCATCAACACGCAGCATTATATTTCTCAGCCCGTACAGTGCAGCACAAGCTCCCATAAAATCGGCAACCATCAACGCGACTGTCACGCTCACCGAGGTCGCGTTTTGCATGCAACTGGAAACGAATAGTGCGTTGAATACCTCGACATTGAACGCAATGAAGACAGGCTGTAAATCCGGTGCATGGCATGTTGTGCGATACAGAAGTAGTTTTTCCATCATCTTCAGTGCTGGTAGCGCAAAAGTCAGCATGAATTGTGCACTGGCGTGTTCTCGAGCATGCAAGAAAGCGTAATAAAACAAAGGGTAAACTACAGCTAGACTGGAAGCGGCGTAGATATAGATAGCGTGAGCTTTTAGTCGTTGGCGCACAAATGCACTAGCTCGACATGCTGGACCCACATACACCCAGAGACCAGCAACGAGAAGTGAAATCCATACGATGTTAAGCGTCAGATACGAGAACGGCACGGGAAATCCGATCGCTAATGCCACTGCGAAGTGGAAGCCCGTGTACACCGTCGAAATTCCAGCCGATAGTAGGTAGAGCAAAACACGGCGCTCTCGAATTGGAGCGATACCTGGGTGGTGCATTGGCAGTAACACGGCCAAGGTGAAAGACCCCATGATCAACCAGGACCGTGCCCAGAACATAACATTACCACGTGGACCATTTTCCGGGGGAGCGAGAGGGATAGCATCAGACACCAATGCGATGACGAGACACGGCACAGGAGTCCCTAACGCTACATTAAAGTTGAGTATAACTGTTGCGGCGCTTGACTTTTGTTGGTCGAGAAAAGTGTGAAGCATCTGCAGGCGTTCCAGCGAGTAGGCACCCTTGTGTTCAACATGCACTGCATACCATGTTCGCCAGCACGCGCCGTACGCACCACATACGAGGCGCCAAAACATTGAGGTTGTTTATGTCAGCTCTGAGCTTGAAAGCCAGAGGGTCACTGAAAAGTGTACCTATAAGAAACGTGTAACGACTTTGATGTTCAAACAGCAAAACAATTATATACACCCAGACAGGATACAGTTCTACACTTTCCACAGAAGACCATCACAATCCGATCGCATCGAGATAACGCACAACTACCGAGTTACCTGAATACCAACCGGCTTTGATCAGCATGGGAACGCAGAAGGCGTTGTTAACGCTCTTGCTGTTTGCCACGCAGCTATTTGCCCAAGTAACAGCGCAAACCTGCGATGCCGAAGGTTCGACGCTCTCGTCGTCCTGTGGCGGGGTTTGCGACTCGCACCAGCCGTGTCTGACCTACAATGTGTCGGAAAGCACGTCTTGTAACAGTTGCGTTGCCGACGCGGCAGGCGACTGTAATTACGTGTGCTACAACATCTACCGCCAAGAGCCCGTGGATCAGTCACTATTCGTCTTCTTCGTCACGTACGGCACCTACCAAAGCGAAGAGGAGATTGAGGCCAGAGCTCAAGACTCCACGTACGATATCAACCTGGAAAGCATCCCAGACAACACGAGTACCTACGCGTGGGCAAGCAACAATATCATCACTCGCATCGGTGCACTGGACTTGCCATCCGCTACAAAACAAGTGTAAGTGTGTAGCAGTGGGACTTGTTTCTTTGGACAGATGACAAACTGTCTTACGTGAATACTGCAGTGTGTTGGCTGGAGGCACTAGCTTCGACTTGGTGTTCAAGTCCAAGGTGGTGAATCTGCAGCTCGCAGAAGACCTACTGACGTCGCAAAAGCAGGTGACCCAGGTCTGGCTCCTCTCTATAAACCTGAAGGGGCAGATTGGCACTGTCAGGGATCTCCTTCCATTCTCGATAACTTACCTGAACCTCGCGAACACACTGCTATACGAATTCCCAGCAGATCTACTGTCACTACCGTCAATTTCCTTGCTGTATGCATGTGAAAGATTTGAAGTGCTTTCTTCATGTTCAGTATACCCAGCTCACCTTTGCCATTTTAACCTGCAGGGATCTCAACTTGAATTATATCACGGCAGTGAACTCTTCCATCAGGTCCTCCAAACTCACCAACCTGTACGTTGAAGTCTGTATCTTGTTGCTATATTGCTTACACTTGATTAACTGACAACGATATTTTTTTTTGCATATTAGTGGAATGTCGTTAAATGGTATGGAATCTTTCGAGGGTGACTTCCCTAATCTTGCTGTTCTGTAAGTGTGAGAGCTAGGCTGATCTTCAGTTACCCGAACTAATGGGTCGTTCGTTGCTGCGATTTTTGAACAACTGCAGCACGCTCACTGAGAACAACTTCACCGAGATTCCAGCTGTCATTTTTACCATGACGTCGTTGACGTCGCTATATCTAGCCGGAAATCCCTTAAAGACACCGACACTCACGCTGGATCAAGTCAATTTTCTGGCGGGGCTGACAGATCTTGACCTGACTGCAGCTGATTTTCATGAAGAAATCAGTTGTGACACTTCAGCACAGCGTACCATCCAGGGGCTTACGGTTTGTGTCAGTGATCTCATGATGGACTCCAACCAAGCAGGCTCCGGCTCGAATAACGGTGGATCTGGATCAACGTCGAACTCCAACACGATGATTATTGTGGTAATTGCGGTTGGTGGTATTATTTTGCTAGCTGTTATCGGAGTGATCGTGTATTGCTTGAAGATGCGCACCGGCGATAAACCGGATACGATGGCAATGACGAACCCCACTTTGCGCATCACTCGAGACAATTACGACAATTTGTCGATTTGGCGAGATCCAGAACTTCTCTCTCTCCAGGTGAGCGTACAAGATATCCAGGATATTAGATTGATCGGGAGTGGTGCGTTTGGCGTAGTTTGGCTAGTCCGCTACCGTAGAGCTCAACTATTTGCTTCGAAGAGACTTCGTGAGGACATGGCAACCCATGAACGAGTGCAAAACTTTGTGGACGAGATTAAGATGGTTTCAAAATTTGATCATCCAAGCATTGTCAAGTTTATTGGTGCAGCCTGGAGTATTGAATCTGATCTCCAAGCACTATTCGAGTACATGGAAAATGGAGATTTGCGCACATATCTGTCGGCTTCCAATCTGCCACGGTACTGGACATCTACACAATTTCAACTGGCGATTGATACGATTGAGGCGCTCGTTTACGTGCATTCGTTCGACCCTCCGCTGATTCACCGAGATCTAAAGTCAAGAAATGTTTTGATCTCGGTAGAAATGCATGCAAAGCTGACTGACTTCGGCACGACACGCTACCGTTCAAAGGATAACACAATGACGATAGGGGTAGGAACTGGTCGGTGGCTCGCACCGGAGATCATATCAGGGAGCACCGAGTACGACCAGAGTGCAGATATCTTCTCCTTTGGAGTACTTTTGACAGAGATCGATACCCATAACCTCCCATACTGTGATGCCATTGGACCAAGGGGTAACAAACTGGAAGAGGTAGCTATACTTCAGAAAGTTGCGAATGATCAGTTGCGTCCGACGATCGGTGCGTCCTGCCCACCAACAGTGCGAGACCTCGCCAATCGGTGCATGTCCCAAAGTCCTCTGGATCGTCCTCTTGCTGCGGAGGTAGCGTATGTATTGCGAACAGTACAAAAAGAGATGAATCGTTTTTGAGGTATGTATGTAGGTGTCAAAATCAAAACTTGCAAAATAATACCCGTAAAGCAAATGACGGTATTTTATACAATGCAAAACCCAATCGATATCTTAAGCACCCTATTAGGGACGTCATGAATTTGCATAAATTTCCATTTACAGGATATTTTGCGTTTGTAGGGGGAACTTAGCGTTGTATTTACCAAACGATGCTTTGGAAACTGACTCCATGGGAAGAATTTCTGTGTGCCCAAAACGGTGTAAAAAGTGCCCAATGGAATTAGCATAAAACACAACAAATTACTTCAAATCGAGGGCGATTCAAAAAAATAAAACTGTATCCAAAATAATTCCCCACTTCGTAAACCTTAACATGCCCGTGTTAAACCACGACCCTGAATACCCAAATCAGTACCCAAAAAATAACGCGCGTTGTTATTATTCGATGCCCAAAATAGTGCCCAAATCGGGAGATTGTTGAAGATAAGAGCTGCTGGTGCACACAGTCACAGATTGTGTGTCGTACATAAGGGCAACTTGCCTCAGAGTGATTGTCACTGAATATTCCAGAACTACCCTAGAGTATTCCAGAGTTCTAGAACACGTAGCACAGAAATAGGAAGCAGAAGAACATTTTTTTTTGGTTTAATGATCACTTTCCATTCTACACTGCATCGCACAAGAGAGTTTTAGGGCGTTTTAGGTTATGAGCCCAAACACGCTAGGTCCGAACGACATCCTGAAGGAGGATAACTATTTCCTCTGGGAATTTAACTGCCGTATGGCACTGGCAAGGAAGGACCTACTGGACCACGTGGAGATGAAGCCCGAGGATGCAGCTAAACGGGAGACCGAGACGTGGGAAGCCGCCGATTTTAAGGCGTTGGCTGTCATCTCTAAGCTACTGAGTCCTGTGTACCAGTCCATGATTCGTGAGTCCAAGTCGGCCAAGGAAGCGTGGGAAACGCTGCGAGAGTTCTTCGTCAAGCAGAATTTGCATAACCGTGTGACGCTGCGAAAGAAGCTACACGAGTTTCAGATGACACCTGGGGGTGACTTGATGGATCACATGCTGAAGTTCGACGACCTCTGTTTGAGGTTGTCTGCTGTCGGTGATCAGCTGAGCGACGAAGAGAAGCTAGTTATTCTTCTCGGAAGTCTGTCAAGCGAGTATGACGCCATGGTGAAGATTATTGAGGCGCACTCGTCGGTGACTTTGGTGGATGCCATGGAAATGCTGCGCCGAGTGTCAGAGACGCTCAAGCAACGGGAAAAGCAAGAGGAAGCTTTTAATGTGTCTACGCATGGTGGAAATGGCGGTCAGACGGGGATACAACAACGGTGACCAGGCCTGCCGATTATGGCATGGCCACTTCAGTAATTTTACATGAGGCAAAGAAATTATTTATGCTCCGTTTTCCCCGCCTAAATCTGATAATTTATTTGTTATGTCAAACATCTCTCATTTTTTTATGCTAAAACCTCTTTACCATGATGAATGTCCCCAAGCCAACCAGCCCAAAGCACGAGAGCAAAAATCCTCTGAGCCAACGATTCTAGCAACCATCTATCCACCACATCCTGCTCAAGAGCTCACTCTTCATTTTGAGCTCTCCAAGCACTCCCAGCACCTCCTGCCCAACCGCCATGACCCTCACCTCTCGCCCTCATCACGCCACTTTTACCCCGGTCCAAGTTTCGGGTTTCTACTTCCGTCCGTGCCGAGAAGACCATGATGAGGTCATCCTCGAGTACTTCCGTTGCCGGTGCGGCACGGTACGGAAGCAGACACGGCGTAACGGCCACAGCAATCTCATGCATCACGTCCGCCGTGAGCACCTTGACTACGAGTGTAATGGGCTTGCTACGTGCCCACTACTTCGGCTTACACGTTAGCGCACGTGTATGAGGAAGCGTAGTTTGCTTTAACTTAGATTAACTATACTTACGTCTCGTAAGTATAGGTTTACTTAAATAAGAAAAGCAAAAGCCGATTTACCGTAAAATTGTGAACTGTTATTTATGTTTTATGTTTTGTGTTTGGGTTTCCTCCTAAAGTGATATTCTAAATGAAAGGTATTTGCCAACGAGTGGTTGGCAGAATCCTGCTATGCTAATTGGTTGAAAGAGATCGCCTTTCAACCAATAGGAAGTCTAAATGCACACAGACCAGTGGTCTGTCAAATGTAACCATTGGTGTATCTCACACCAATGTGAACCCATTGTCGTAATCAAGTGGCTACATGTAGCCACTTGCGTGTAACCCCGTTACAACGAGGCCATCATGCTGGCCGCGTCGACGGCCGAGACTGGCTCCTTGCTAAGCTACGTACGCCAATCGGCTTTGAACGTCTACGGCTGGATGGACTGGATTCTAAAACCACAACCTGCCGCTGTCATTCTGCGAGAACCGTGCGACTAGGAGGTACGATAGCTTGCTATTCCTACCATATCTATAGACTACTTACTTTTTGTGTTTGTCATGGACCAGATACACAAATCTCGATCCAATTTGTGTGGAGACATTAGTTAGTGCAATGGACAGCCTCACTAGGGTTGTGGAGCGCGCGATCGCGGCTGAGCTGCCCGAGCACTTTGGACTCCTCTTCGACGGCTGGACGCACGCCTCCCAGCACTTCATCGCAGTGTTCGCCTGCTACGACGCCGGCGGCGTCAGGAAGACGCCGCTCCTCAGCATGGCTCCTCTGCTTGACGCCCTCGACGACGACCTCTCTGGTCGAGGACACATGGAGTTCCTGGCGAACATGCTGCCGCGAGACTATGGCAAACAGCTCTCTCAATGTCTGTTCCTAGTGGCTGACAATTGCGCTGTCAACAGACTTCTAGCTACGCTAATGGGGGTGCCTCTTGTGGGCTGTGCTAGTCACAGGCTCAATTTGGCTGTTCAAGCGGATATGGAGGAAAGTAAGACAGACTTGGACGTGGTTCACTCTTTGATGCTAAAGTTACGCACGCTTTCGCAGTCTGCCAAGCTACGGTAAGTTTTTGAGTTGCTTTTTTTCAATTTTGCAAAGCTAATAAAAATGTGTTTGAAGGCTAAAACGCCTTTGCGACCTGTAATTCGACAGGACACTAGGTGGTCGTCGACTTTTAGCATGTTGAAGCTCTATTTTGAGCTCTTAGAGCACCTAGATATGAACGATGACACACGCGTTGAGTACCTGCTGCCGCCAGCCGCCAACCGTCGGCTTCGCGCCCTTTTAAAGGAGCTTAAACTTAAAAAGGTGGAGTCAGTTGCGAAAGCCCTCGAAGGTGCAGAAGTCACGCTGTTAGACGTGCGCGTGTGGTTCGACGGGCTTGTTACCATCAAGCCCCAATACGAAAGGTATATCGGTAAGTCATGCAATGTTTATTATAATGAAGGAGTTTTTTCTTCACTAATATATACTACTGTGTGCAGGTCCCCGCTCCCAGATCGTCCACAACCGGACTTTGAGGCCGCATGCGTGCGAGTCCTCGGTGGCGATGCCGGCCGACTGAAGCGTGCAGAGCGGGCTGCGGTGGAGCCCTTCCGGCACCGTCAAGCTGAGGCTGCGGGGGAGGCACGAGAGGACGGGGAAGGCCCAAGCAGCAGCGAGGTGGACTCTTTCGTGGTGCAACTTCATAAGCGCCGGCGGCTTGCTCGCAAGGAGGTCAAGTATGACCTTCTTGCGAGTATCCACCCGACCTCAAATATTGCAGAGCCCTTTTTTAGTGTTGCACGCACAACATTCGGTCAAGAGCGTCACAGCCTTCAGCCTATCACGCTGGAAATGATCCTGTTCCTGCGTCAGAATGCTGGCTACTGGAACGCGCAAACCGTTGACGACGCTACCCAATAGATGCAAATGACCGTGAATATTTCATTATTTATTTCCTTTCTTTGACTAACTTCATTATGTATGTTCTTTTGCTGCAGATTGGCTGCCATTATTTATCTACAGATTGTCGCCAAGATGCCTATCAATGCCATAATCGACGGTGGCGGCCGTGGACAAGGAGGTCAGCGCGGTCGTGGTGGTTGTGACCGTGGTGGTCATCGCGGTAGCTCCCGTAGCGATCGTGGAGCGTTTAAGTTCAATGGTAAATGTTTTGAGTGCAATGAGTATGGGCACAAGCGGCACGAGTGTCCGAATCGCACTAAAGGAGGAGATGGTGATGAGGTTGTGTTTGCTGCTACGACGGCGTCGACAACGTCTTGGCTGTTGGATAGCGGAGCAAGCGCCCACATGACCCATAGTCGAAATGATTTCGTCGACTTCCGCACACTCAACGCGGACATGCACATCATAGTCGCGAGCGGACAGCGTCTTCGTGCTGTCGGTGCTGGAACGGTGCGTTTCCAGGTTGATGGAGGCCGTATGATTACGGTGACGGCTGTTCTCTTCGTGCCTCATTTGGAGAGACGCCTGCTCTCTATTCCCTCATTGGTGGCTAAGGGAGCGTCGGTTGGCTTCTCTGGTGATGGATGCACTATCACTTTTAACGGGCAACTGGTTGTGCGGGTGGAGAAGCGCGACAAGCTAGTTGTGTGGAACGTGGTGGCATCTACGGAGGTGAACAACGCGCTAGCAGTCGCAGCGTCGGCTGCTGTGCCGCCGGAGAGTTTGTGGCATGAACGTTTGGGGGCACGTATCGAAGAAGAAGTTGGCCTTAGTGTCAAGAGGTGCGATCGGCGTCCCGAAGTTCTCGGGAAGCAATGAAGCAACGGAGAATGAGCCATGTGCTGGCTGTGCTTGTGGGAAGATGACGGTTAGCCCGTTCTCAAGACAATCGGGTAGTATTCCGAAGACGCAGGATCTTTTGGACATCGTGCATTTTGATGTCATGGGCCCCATGAAACCTGTGTCAAAAGGGGGAACACGATTTGTTGCGGATTCGGATCCACTGTTACTGGAAAACGGAGATGGTGAGTTATCAAATGGCTACTCTTCTGATGAAAGTACTGAGAGACCGGACGATAAACGACCAAGAATTGACGACGGATACGAGATCGCTCTCTCTTACGCGGAGGCGATAAAATCTGCTGAAGCTGACAAATGGAAGGAGGCCATTCGAGAAGAAATTAGAGTACACGTGCGGAATCACACTTGGTACTTGGTGTACCGACCAGCAGGA